CTCCTAAAATTTATCCAATCGAGCTGAAAATTTTTCTGCAGATACTAAACAGAATTTGCAAAGAACTAAATTTTTTTTCAAAAAATTTTGTTCCGTATATTGAAGCTATTTCAAAAAGAAAAATCTTGGAAAATGAAAATCAGATTGTGAAGTTAAAAACCGTTTAATTTTTGGATGGAACAGTTAGCTAGCACTTGTTAAATATTGTCTAGTACCTGTGGTAAAGTTTTCGGTCCGATCGGATGAAATTTCGAGGAGAGTCGTGATATACGACAAGTCTGATGGCTAGAGTTGCGATTTACATGCGGGCTAATGGAAGACACCGAAAAAGTGGTGCTTTTCGTAGAACACCTTTAAATTATTATTCCATTGACTGTAAGTCTATGGTCATACGAAAAAGTACAAGTGTTTGTGTGTGTGTGTGTGTTTGTCCGTACAGAGGTGTGACGGACGTACATACATATAGTCATGTGGCAGTGTGACGGACGTACATACATATAGTGACCAGTGAGTGTGACGGACGTACATACATATAGTCATGTGGCAGTGTGACGGATGTACATACATATAGTGACCAGTGAGTGTGACGGACGTACATCATAGGATGAAGGATTTGCACTTGCCGCAAACTCAATTCTACAAACTCATTCAATAGCAGAAAATCGATTTGCAGCAAACTAAAAAACTAAACTTCCAGCCTTCGATTTGAATTGCAGACTGCAAATTTTTGCAAATCGAAATTTGTATTGAGAATTTGAGAATTATGCAAATCGAAATTTCTGTTGAGAATTTTGCAACTCAAAATTTGTATTGAGAATTTGAGAATTTGGCATATCGAAATTGGAATTCCAGGAATTCATTCCACGCGGAATTCCTAGGGATAACTAGGAATAACTATGAATAACCCGGAATTACTTGCCGCATATACTGATATACGGCAGTGATCAAAAGTATACACCTTCTTCTAAGACGTAATTCCCGGAATTTCTTCCACGGGGAATTCCTAGGAATAACTAGGAATTACTAGGAGTTCCGGAATTACTTGCAGCATCTGTTGATATACGCCAACGATCTGAACTATACACCTTCTTCGGGGATGGAATTCCCGGAATTCCTTCCACGCGGAATTCCTAGGAATAACTAGGAATAACTGGGAATTAGTAGGAATTACGGAATTACCTGCAGCATATACTGATATACAGCCGTGATCAAAACTATACAACTTCTTCTAGGACGAAATTCCCGGAATTCCTTCCACGCGGAATTCCTTGGAATAACTAGGAATAACTACGAATTCCAGAATTACTTGCGGCATATACTGGTATACGGCAGTGATCAAAACTATACAGCTTTTTGAAAGATCACAACAGAAAATTACCAGGTTATTTAACATTGAGCTCAAATGTGGGTCGGTCCAATGTCGGGGTCGCTCAAGTGTCGGTCGCTCAAATGTCGGTCGCTCAAACGTCGGTTAATCGTGGAATAACGTCCAACAGAAAATAAACAAAACCAATTGTTTTTGGATATTTAAAATAGACATTGCAGTTATGAACAATACGAAAATATCGGAAAATATTTAATCCAACTAGAAGATATGGTTTAATACGACTGAGATAGATCGAACTGTAAGCCTCAACCGTGCACAAAATACTATAAACTATATCGTTATAACATCTTTTTGATGTCCGAGTGCCGTATTGAATGAAAAATAGTATCATGAGCAAGATATCGATAAATAAGTAGTTATAAATCCATATCAACGATTCGACGATTCAACGAAATTTATCACGTATCAGTTTCACATCTTCAACATCAGGACTCTACCACAGTTCTTCTCGTCAAAGTTCACGATTACCACGTGCACAATTTGGTAGTTCTGTATTAGGTCAGGCATATTCCGAACAAGAATTGAGAAGCAATATGCATACAGAAACAAAAGTGGCGTGGTAAAAATCGTTATTTTCACTATTATAATAAGTTATCTTTGGTCGAAAATCCAAAAGTAGTCAATTATCGGATAAACTCTTTGAATAAGAAACGATTTTTAAGAATTGAACTAGCATGTTTCTGCCAACGTTTTCGATTTATTATATTTTCTGTATATACAACATTAAAACTTTTCTAGCACTTCAACTTGGTAGAGCAAACATCTTCCTACAAAATGAGGCATTCGACAGCTCTAAGTGCTTTTTTATAACTGATTCGCAACGACTTTGCTGAATGCCCCAATATCGATTATTAATCGGTATATGTCTGATTGAGTTATATTTTGATTCAAAATGGAATATAAAGCATGCATCTGTACTGTAAAAGTAGGCCGAACTCAAGCGACCCAATACCCAGTAATATTGTGAAAACCTAATACATTAGGGTGACCAATATTATCGGGACCCATATTATTGGTGCATGTCTGAATTTGTGCGTAGAGCGTCGATGGACATCCATGGATAGGTTCATCTGATGCAGATCTCTAACAAATGTCCGTTTTACTATTCTCTGCCAAACCCATGATGAATAGATGATATCCGTTCAAAACGAACAACTTTATTTAAAAACCACATCATTTAAAAAAATTACCGTCTAAGGGATAAGAACGTCTCATCTTCAGAAAATAATTTTTATGAAGGTGCCAATAATGCAAACTTCGAGTAAAATGTTTTTTTGAACTTATTATACACCACAGAGCGTTTCAAACTGATCACGAATATATACTTTTCAATTTTTCCGAATAATGTTTTCATGTTGAAAAATCGAAAGAACTCGAAGGATCTTGAAAATTGAAAAATCCGTTGTGTTTGAAAAAATTTGAATTTTCATCTTAGTTTAATCTATATTTTATTAGTCATCTGAAATAAGCATCACAGATAGTCAGGAATCGCAAAGCATTGTACCTGGCTATCAATTTTCGTCTTATTTGACGATGCGGACTTTCAAACTATTTTTTTTCTGATCCAGCATTGAAAACTGAGTAGAAAAATGGTATTTTAGGAATTTTGCAGTTACTTCCAGTTTTTACATTATATTTTCGTCAAAATCTCATTCTATATAACACTTTCATACGGAGTTGAAATAAAAGGTCGACTTTCTTCGCGTCTAACAGATTTGTTTCAAACTGCGTGACCGATAAAGGTTTTTATCTGAACTAGGGTTGGGCTTTTGGCTGAACAAAGTATCTTCATTCAATAGTTTCATTGATATTATTCACAGCTGTTTTGCCCGACGTTATTTTTTTTCCAGGGTTTTAGAATAAATGTGGGGTCAAATCAACGATTAGTGATCGGCTCTTTTCACTTTTAAGAGACTTTTATTGTGTTTATGACACATTTAAGTGTTATAGGTTAAAGTGTACGACAAAAGTTAAAACGGTTTTTGTTTTCACTTTTTCTCCGTTAAAAAGAAATATTTAAAATAATTTAAAGTATGATATGGATAACCCATGAGCTGAGCCACAAGATTCATCTAGTTTGGGCTTTCTCAAATGGGACTTGGAATTTTGACGAATAAAACTCCAGTCAACAAAAGTTTAAGCAGTATTTCAGTATTTTAAACGATGAAAAACCCACGTTTCTGATTCTTTTCTGGAATATACATGAACCTATTTTAATTAATCAACATCGAACAAACAATAAAATAGAAATATAGCACCGAAACTTGAACTGTACATTTCTGTGTTCGATTAGAACAATTTTTGAAGTTCTTCTCCTGGATGCTATCTGCCGACCTTTCATACGTTGCACTTCTTTAACTACGTATTTTCCCATTGCACTAAATTGTGCAAAAGCAAACTACAAGTTATGATCATACATTCGTATGAAGGCCGTACACTTACGTATGCATTTAAATAGTGTTTACAAGTGATCACTTTTCGGTGTTCTATTTCGGTTTTCTCATCCATCTTTATGGACATTTTATATAAACTAAAAAACAAGAAAATAATTTACATTTAGATATAGTTAATGCAAAATCTAGAAGTGAATCAGCCAAAACAAATATGAATCATTTAATAGACGTCTACACAGTTTGGTGAAGAATTCTTATTCAGAAATTTACGATCAGGTACAGGCTATTGAACGGTTACTTTCTCTGTAAATATTTTTATACTTTGATATCCGCTGATATATATCCGAGTATTTGTACGGTTATGTGCTTTTTGTTTTCAACTCTTATGAAAGTTTTTTAAACGAGTTCTCAGTTTGTTTTTCGAATCAATGATAAAATAAACGTTTTTATCGGATAATCGGCCATGCTCACTATCTTAACATAACATTTGAATTTTCCGGTGAGAAAGTGTCAAATGAGGATCTATCCGAGTGAGTATTAGTCGAGAACAGCAAACTGTCACACGAGCAATCTAACCCATTACATCTGTCAAGTTACAGGTGACGCAAATTTTGCGATTTGAAGGATCGATTTCTGACTCGTTTTTTGCTGGAAAAATACATGTGACCAATGCCAAGCACATGTCAGATAACGCTGAATGCATCAAAATCAAATAGAGCATGGTCGATTATCCGATAAAAACGTTTATTTTATCATTGATTCGAAAAACAAACTGATTTTCAAGAAAAAATAGAAGAAAAATGATTTTTCTTCATATAGTACAAAATAAGTGTGATTGAAACTGTGACGTTTCCATAGAGCACCCAAAGTTAGAACCACTGCATGTTCGTGAGGAGCTCTTCCCTATTTCATTTGCAGCTTAGCATGTGACAGACTGTTGTCTTGAGAAAGTGAGCTCATATCTCTCCGTATGGCCACAGTGGACTTTGTTCATTTCAATAACACATTTCTTTTTTCTCAATTCATACTAATTAAGTATTTAAACGTTAATTATTATTAAACTAATAGAATATTCTGAACAGTACCGTCGGTCGTTTCATGCGAAACAGAAAATTCGAAATCAAGGTGTGAACTTGTTTCTTATGTGCTTAAATTAACTGAAAAAATAGAGAACATAACAGAATTGAAGTATTGTACATATTTAAAAAGTTTACAATGAGTTAAATTTCGTTCCATTGAATAAAAGTTGCATTATGTTCATCTTCTTCAAAATAGGGCGCAACGTAAATTGAATAATGTCCACCAATTTCAATTTGGCTATCGGCTCTTTTCGTTGGACATTGAAATTTGACCAGCTTCCACTCATCTGTAACAATAACATTAGCTAATGAATTATTATAAAAACATGCAACACCAGCTTTATATTGAACACTTGATTCACAAACACGAAATATTTGATATTGTTGTTGCTTTCGTAGAGCTTCGGATGACAATGAAACATTCAATGTCACTTGATCACCTGGTGATACACAAGATAAATAATTCCATTTACGTTTAAGACGAAAACCACAATCTCTTAGTTCACTCCATGAACCTAAACACAAAACCAAATCCAAATGAGCAATGTTCAGGCTTTCTCTCACACATACAAGCACCTCAAATTCTTGTGAACAAGATGAATGTTTTTTTTAGTAAGATTTTGATAAGAAACTGTAAGAATTCAAGAAATTTCAAGTTAAGATCTTGAACAGCTTATAATTTCTTGACTTTTTGCACCAAGATCTTGACTAAGATCTTCACTAGTTAAATTTTGTACCCAAGAAAAATTCTTGAATCATCGTTTTATTTTACACTGTTGTGTACATATAAGTGCGAATATTTTCACACTTAGAATAACTTCGAATTTTTTCTTTCTTGAGCACAGTTGTTTAAGGAAGAGCTCATGATTGTATATGGTCGTATATCTGATAGCTATGGCTGTCAGAAATGAAAACAAAATTTTTCACTTAAGATCTGGCAACATCCTGAGTGGATTCGCTCAAGATCTTGAAACTTTTGTTCCCAAGATTTTGACTTCATGGTGTTTCTTCCAAGATCTTGGGTACAACAAGTTTCACGAAGGTAGGCACTTTATGATTAATTATGAAGGTATTTCAATGTTTTCTTAGCTACCATAAAGTTTTTATCAGAAAATATATATTTATAATCTGCATTGAATTCTGAATCGAATGATAGCTTATAGAAGCTTTGTCGGAACACGTCTGCTCTGTCGTTTAGAAATGTTAACGTTTTACACAGATATCTAAAACGTTTTCCCGTCCAAATACCTTGTCTGACACATCATTCGCTTTATAATTCAATAGAGATTATGTATCAAAGATATTTCACTTTTATGTGCACTTATGCTCTATCAGAATAGAGCATTTTCACGTCAATAAAGAGCTTCTAAAACAAATTACTTCGGACTGGCTTTTTGCTGGAAAAATGCATGTGAACAATGTCAGGCACATGTCAGATAATGCTGAATTCATCAAAATCAAATAGAGCATGGACCATTATCCGATAAAAACGTTTATTTATCATATAGACTGTATCGGTGTCATTCTTGATCCGGTATGATTATGCCTAGAGTCATTGAATTTTTTTGATTTTTTGTTATATGAATGCTATTATGTATCAGTTTAACATGTTGTTTGACTAAGATGACGATTCTTTGTAAACGTTGTTGGACATTTATATTTTGAACCTGTGAGGATCATTTAGACCCCTCATGTAACGTATTCATAACTCTTGAATGGGGCTGATGTTTTCAAAATCGTACTCATCTCATCAAACATGTACTGAGATTAGTCAGTTCTGTTTTACCGCACTTTCTCGGCCCGCCTTTCTGACATTTTTTGAGATTGTAAAATTCGTATCGAAGTTGGCCTCTTACCTGAACGATATTGACAACTATCTGTTATTTGTCCATTACCATCCAACCCCAACGTGAATTCTTTTTTTAAAATATTATCTTGTCGATAATTATCAAAATATTGACATTTTCGTTTATAAACTGGCAGTCCATTACAACACTCTGTTCCATTGGCACCATTTTCTTTATCATATGAACAACACTGCCCTTCTGTTTTTTGTGAAGAGCAACATGTTGTTGTAAAATTTGTTTTTATCCATATTTGGTCTCCTGTCTTAGCAAGTACCGGTTTTCCTTCACAAAGAAAACTATCGGGATTATCATCTGTTGTTAATGTATCGGTAATGGGCTTAACGCTTGTATCATAGTTGGAAACATCAATCCATTGACAGACCAAAGCATCGTTATATGTATCTCCCCAACCAGCTGATATACCTTGATTCAAACAGGTATAATGATCTTGTCCCAATGGACTCCATTCAGCATTAGCTACTCGATAAACACTTGCCAAACAGAAACCACGTTTTTTCATTGATTGCTGTTTTCGACCATAGGTATATTTACCATAATGATAAAAATGATAATGTTTATGACACGGACTATATTCAAATAAATGATATTTTGTTACTAATTCTGATGGTGGACCACCTAAAAAGTAATTTAAACGACCCATAATAACACCCTGTATACCCATATTTTGTAATGTAGCAGAAAAACGTAATAAACGTCTCCAGCCAGTTCCACCAACACAGCCTTCAGCTAATTCACAAGCACCGGGGGCTATATAATAATAAACCAAACGAGTTTGTTCCATAAAATCCGGTTTATAGGCAACCAAATTTGAATAAGGAACTTTACCTAAAGAGAACAGAACAAAATTTCAAATAAATAGGATGACCTGCTAGATCTGCATACGGCTCTGTCCTGATGTTGTGTAAGAAATTAGTAAAGATATTTGCATAGCTCACATGAGATTCACTGCTTAAAAATATGACATGAGTGAAGAGATGAAAAGTAGCGAAAATTTCGAATTAACGATTTTTTTGCCGTTGGTGGAAAGTTCATCGTTAGCTTATCGTTCCATAGTAAACTTCACTCGTTTTATTCATAGGAAGACACAATTATTTTTGAATGTTAAAATCTATTAGTGTACTCTTATAAGGAAAATTTTTTTTCTTCTCATGTAGATATGAAATTTAGAAAGAAATTTCCAACAAACTAGTTTCTCGTGGGATCATACTGTTATTGAAACAAAATAACTTCGTTTTGAAAGATGTTAATTTCAATCTCTTTGGAAACGGGTCCGTAAAACGACAATATGTATATCTGTAGTAAAAGTGCAATTCTATTGGGATCTCTCAGGTATACCATGGAACCACCTGTTATTCAATATAAACACACAGAACCAAGATGTAAAACGGTGCCTTCCTAGCATAGATATTGAGTACCCTTGTGGAAATGGCATTGCGTAGTCTATCTACATAATCTTCTTTTAAGGATTGTAAGAACGTCAAGGCCCATTTCATGAAAATTTCTTGTCTTATTTCATCAGACTATACTGGCTATGGTCATATGTGACGTTCTATCTAACAGCATCCATATCTCGTTAGCCAGGGCAAATGACCACTGCATTGAAATAAACAATGACGCGTTGAAGAAAAAAAGTTCTAAAACATGAATCATCCTAACACAGTTGAAATCCTTCGTGCACATAGCCTTTTTATCATCCATATGACACGTTTACCTCACATACCATTTCGTTCTTCTAATTTCTTTGGATATCTTATTTCATTAGCTAAAGTTGTGTTAAATTTAATTCTTTGAAATTTAATAGTAACATTAACACCCCCAATATCTTGTTTAATACATTCATGACATGAACGATTTGGTAACGGTAATGAACAATGACATTGTTGACAACCAAATATTCGTTTTGATTGTTGTTTTTCTTTTTGACATGTATCATTAAAATAAATTTTAACATCTTCAGCATCAACTGAATTCGGTGGATATTGTGATTCATCCATACAACAATAACCGGTTCGTTGAACAATTAATGTTGGATCAACTGGTAATACGAATGACATACTAAAGAATTGTCCTGCATTTGTGAGACGAGAATCACTTTTAACGACCGATTCTGTATCTGTTAGTATATATGTTTCAAATTCATAATCTCGAACATACAATAAATGACCATCAATAGAACGAGCATACATGTCTAAAATAACAGATATGGATAACAGATGTTGAACTCTCCTCTCTTACTTGAAGATTTTTTGAATATCCTTGAAATTGCAGGAATACTCTCATGTTACCTCAAGATGTCAAAATAATCCATGTAGTCAAAATCAGCAATAAATCGGCGATTTTATCGATTAATAGCAATTAATCGACGAGTTTTCAGTTTAATAGTCAACCGGGCTCCTCGGTTCAAAGCTGACTCAAATCGAAACAATTAGTCAGCTCTGAGGAAACTACAGAGAACACTCTTGACAGATCTGTTTTAAGTTTAACTAAAAAGAGAATCGGAAAAGAACATTTCTCGTTGAAATCGTCTTTCTTATATACTTACTCTACTACAGAATAAAATGGTGAATAACAAAAAACCGTTTAATGACTTAAAATCAACAAATTATCCAGGTCGTTGATTCCCGCGTGAGGATCCAGCTGGATCTAACATCTAGTGACGTGACCAGGAGAAGGGAGTTGCTCGGAATCCGTACCGGCATCTTCCGACCGATGAATCTGATTTTGCTCAATGTGTCAGAATGTAACCAGTTTTGAGATTAAAAATAGTCTTAAATTTTTTCTGTCATGTTCTACTCGTTCTTCTCTCTGCTTATTCGAGAGAGTGGAAGGCCCCACTAGCAAGGACGTGTACAGCACGATAACTCACACCGTTAAGAATTTGAGAAGAGCAACTTCTCATTTTTCATTTTCTGTAGTGTCGTATTTAAATTGCTCCTGTCGTGAAACAAAACGGTGAATATATTATGCGCACAAAAAAAAATAAAATAAAATAAAGTGCACATCGCAGGATCCGTCAATTTCCGCTCATTGGAAGTTAACGGATCCGACTGGTACCGGATATCGGATCCGATCTCCGGATCCTCCAGGAACCAAATATCGGAACACGAAGGAATTGAGTAGATTCCTGTCTCCGAATCCGGTCGGGCGTCCGATCTCCGGAATTAAAAGGGTCCGATCGGGCGAATTCGACCTGGGTAATCGCAATTAATTGGCCATTATTGAAAAAACAGAAAAATCACCACGATGTTTTTAACAATGGCGATATATCGGTGATTTTAACAGCTGGCGATTTTTCGTGCACGCCGATTAATCACCAGTTGTTAAAAAATCGCCGATATATCGCAATTTATGGACGATTATAGTCAAGATATAGAACTCTGCAGTAGACGTAATAGCTCTTATGAAAGAACGCTAAAGATGGATCAGGAATTGGGTTGGCTATTTGCTGTGATTAATTTTCGAAAAGAAAAGACAGTCATTAAGAGAAAATACATATTACTTTATGCCCTCGCGTATCAATTTTATGAATTCTCAAAAAGATGCGCAATGTCGAGTTGTGAACGAATTCCTAATCTTTCGAGAATTCATATAATGATAAGAGATGAGTTGAGAATTGGTAAAATTGATTCTCGAAGTCATACATCTATACTCTGCTGCATGAAATAAAAGAATACATACTATTTAAAAATGTAATACTCCATTGTTCTTTTGGTGTTAATGATATTGTTGAACGATTGTGTATCTCTTCTTCATATTTCATAGGTCTAAAAACAAATCGATTATTTGTTAATTCTATTTGTTTAATCGCTAAATCATTCCAATATTGTTCATTTTTATCTTTCAAGATCTGTTTTGCTCTTGAACGTATTTTCTCGGGAATTGAATCAAATTTAATACCAATTGTACTCTTAAATGTTACTTTAACAATGGCACCTGGTAGTTGATTATAAATAACTTGACAACGAGCCACGATCATTGCTATCGTTACAACAGTTATTAAGATTATTAATTTCATTTTATACGTGTGTTTTATCTGTAAAA